GTTTCTCTATTTACTCGTCTGTTGATCTCTCTGTCAGTCTTCACTCCCTCTAACTCTTCTTCTCTCTGGTCTTATGTAATTCTATACATACACACGTATGAATATTTCTGAGATGCACATTAATAAGATACAGAATCCTTATTAAAATAATATTAAAATTGCAAATGATTCTTTATTAAAGTTTAATGTTCTACTAAGCATTTCTAATGGATAATAGCATCGAAAAGAATATTTAAAGATATATATATATATATATATATATATATATATATATTTAATAATAATAATAATAATAATAATAAGACAAAATATTATTAAAGCCATATCAAAACGAAAATTAAAGTCAATTTATAGAAGAATTCTAGTTTAAAAACAGCGTGGGTGTATATTATAATTTCTTATATACGAAAACATATAATGTGAAAATGTATTGTGCGGATTTTGTTTACGGATAGCTTTAAAATATTTGAATTTAGAATTTATGTGCATTGCATTGGCAGTGACTTTTCGTACCTTAATTACTTGACGACTTTTATTTCATATTTTAATGAGAATATCCATTTGTTTTTTATAGTAAACGAAATTAAATTTAAATGAAATTGAATTCGATAATTCACTACGATTCGTCCAATGAAGTTACCACTCGCAAAATACCTCCGCAGGTGATTTGAAAATTTTTTCTATTCATAACATAGACGCAGAAGGTCATACAACCCGAAAGGATAGCGGAAATGTTGGAGAAATTACCTGAAACGACGCCGACAAATTTGGCCTCGTTGCCGAGTGTCATCTGCTCGAGCCCTTCACCCAAACCCATGAACGCCCATCAGTATGACAGCGTCTCTTCCAACAATTTCATTCAAACCAACTCGTCGGCTTATAAGGTGAAAACCATGGATGCGTCGATGCTCACGCAGGAGCACGTAGATGGAAATTTTTCAGGCAAGTTTCCAAGCTTAACTTTCAAATTGTCACAAAACGAAGTACTCTTCCGTCCTCCTAACCAAGCACAAACGCAGCTTACAAAAATCAATAAAACACAAACGCACTTTTTTCCTCATAAATACATGAAAAATATATTATATTTTAGTTACATAGAATTACATATATAATATTGAATTGAAATGAAGTTTTGAAAATGATTGATTACAATTTTTTTTTATAATACTAAAGTCTTAGAACTGAAAGTATATTGAAATGCTATTTGGTATTTTAATTCCAATCACAATGATAAAATTAGTAAAAATATATAAAATATTTCAAAAGACGTGTGGAATATTCGTACAAAATATGAGTAGTAAAAGTGAAAAAGTGTCAATAAATGGAGATGATGACTATTAGCAACTTCTATCTATACAAATATTAAACCAATAAGTTCATAAAACAACTTAAAGCATTGTCATATTAATAATATTTAATCTAATAATACATCTAACTATGATAATAACATTGTTGTTCAAATAGTTTATTATTTTCTTTCTTCTAAAATATTTAATGGTACAATAGTTTTTTGTTTGTAAGTTGAATAAATAGAAAATTTTACTTTCCAATACGTGATAAAGATTTTCTAACTTTACTTGTAAACCAATATGTACAGAATATATTCTATAAAAAATAATATATTGAATATATATATATATATATATATATATATATATATATATATTTACTGTAATTCTATTAAAATCTTACTTATATGCCGAATAATAAAATACGCAAAAATATAAAATTAGATATGACTGATTAATAAAAAAAAACACACACAATCCGAATAATTTTTTAATTAATCTAACAAATTTTATAACATCAATTTTCAAATATTACATATTTTTTTACAATTTCTTTCATAAACTTATATTTATAATTCACGAAGTTTGAATAATTAATAATAAATAATAAAATAAGTAGGAAAATTAATGTTTTAGAAATAATGATAAATCTCTAAAGAATCTTGATGGCAAATTTATCCACATGTAATTGAAATTTATTTATCTGTATCTACTATCATTATCTTTATCAATATCTATATATATATATATATATATATATATATTTATATAATAAATTTTCAAAACCGTATAAAACTAGAATATATAACTGAAATTCTTTCTATATATGAAATTCTATGCTACATCTGTTGTTAATTACATTTGTAAAGATAATTTTATATTACAAAATGATTTTAATGAAGATTTTGTATATCAAGAAAAAATGATAAAATATTCGTTTATTTAAAACTCACTATTAATATAAAATAAAGTTCAGATATATTAATGAACTATTTATGAAAATTAAAAAATTCTCTGAATACAAGTTAATGACAAAGTAAAAAGTAATAAATTGACTCATCTATAATTAATGATGTGTACATAAATTAAAAATAATTTAGCAATAAGCCTTAAAATACATTTATATCAATTACCTAATAAATTAATAAATTAATAAATAAGCGTTGGAATGTAAAATACAAAATATGAATAAATGTATATTAATTGAACTTCCAAAATTCTTTTAATATAATACAAAATGAAAAATAAAAGCAGATAAAAAATAAAGTTTTAGAGACTATTTCTTTAAATTTTTAGAAATTAATAATTACCAATATGAATGTTTTATTGAGAATAAATTCCGTTATATTGTAGGTTATTCTCAATAGCCTTTGATTTTATAAAATTCAGTAATTATGATAAAAGACTGAATTGCATATAATTTTTTGTAAAAATATTGACATATAATGATATATATAATTAATTTCCTTTTTTATTTTTCAATTTTATAATGCGAAGAGAGGAAAAAACTTAAATAGTATAATGTAGATTTATAATGTGCGTATAAGTGATTTAACGAGATGATAAATGGCAAATGATTTAATGAATGAGCAATAAATAAACAATAAATGATGGTTAACAGTTAATATCTTATTGCATATTATAGTGCAAAATGTTTGAATTTATTAAACCATTTATAGATATATTTAATTATTGTTGCCGCTTCGTTATGGATACGATGCAAATCTTATAGGATTAATTCATTATGCGATACAACTGAAAAGTGCATTTACAACATTTACTTGCTGGTTTTTTTAAATTTACATTGCACAATATTCTACAGCGTTGAACAATAACGTAATATATTGTAATATGAAATATACAAAATTATTAATTCATAATGATAATATTAAGTGTAAAAAATTACATATTTTTAACTATAATGATAATTATGCAATATTGCTGTCAGTTCAATATTATGTCGGTTAAGCTTGAAATCGAATTGTTTCCATTATGTTTGAGGTTGCATTAGTTATGAAAAATGAGTATCCAAATTTCATCGTATTACTTGAATATTTCAATTCATTATCATATGAACAATGATTTGAATTTGCAGTTATCACAAATATAATCATCAAAGGATTACAAAGGAATATAAAAATATCATTTTTCAAAATAACTATCCGAATACACATAATTTTGAACGAATAACTAAACTCCTTATCACAAATTCTAATCTATTATATTATATTATAGATTTAATTTCAATCATTTTCTGTTCTAGATATTGCAAGTTCACCCGACGCGAATTTTTGTGCTATTCAAATGAGTCCCACGCGTCAGCCTCGGTAATATGTAGTCATATAATACACATATATCGAATAAAACATTTATAACGATTGTTTTTTTATTCAAATTTTATCGTAAACAGCGCAATTTAGAGATAAGTATGTATTGAAATTATGTTTTTTAATGTCATTAATGTGCCTTGTAAAAACATATATTATCAATTAAAATTTTTTATTGTCACCATTCAATACAAATTATTGGATGAGATCGTTACTTTTTCTTTTTAACATTTTTTTAACATCAAACAACTTACAAATATTAAATGTTTCATTTGTTGAATTTAATAAAAATAGACAGATAATTCAGCAAAAATAAATAATAATTATAGTTGTGAATGACAGTTGTATATTCAATATGATTTGGCGTTTCTTCCTAAATAGTTTACGCAATTTATCTGAAAATAACATCTTTATTCTATTATGAAAGGCTTTCATTACAAAATATACGTCAATCATTAGCTTATAATATTACTAAGTCAAAGACTAATGAGCGATGAGGGGAGCGTCAGAAATGGAGACCAGTTAGTTATCCAATGGATAAAGGCGTTGAAATTTCATACTATTGTGCATTCTTAAGCCTTAAATTCAACTTTAAATATTTTTCGAGAAATTGATACTTTCAGAAATTTGAGAAATTATTACGAGAGCAAAGTGGAAAGGGAATTCACGTGATAAAAGAAAAAAACAACCTTCGGGCTTTATTTTGCAGGCAAACCAGAACATACAGCATGGGACTGCCCGATAGAAGTTCCCTCTTCCAGGATTCACTATTTCCTGGAAGTGGTGTCATACCACCTCCACTTCCAAGGCGACATTCCGCAACGGTAAATTCATCCACGTTTCTTCTTTATTTTTTTTCCCTGCCTTTTAACGATTTTTTACTTTCACTTTATTCCCCGCGTCTAACATTGGCCTATGGGAATATTATTATTATTATTATTATTATTATTATTATTATTATTATTGTTGTTATTACGATATCAAAGTATTCGATTTCATTGTCAATTGTTGTGAACTAATTACCTGGGATTTGTCTGGGAGTACCGAGTCTCAAAATTATTCGCCCATCCAATGAAATCCTAGAAAAGGGAAAAGTTCTCCGCTTAGAAGTAAAGAGACGGAGAATCGTACGCATTTTTAATTCGACTTTTATCTAAATTTTAGCTAAATAAAATCAAGACGATGGCATTTTAACGTTTGTGGTAAAAATTTCGTTGCGATAAATCTCGAATATTTGCACGAATCCTTGATCGAGCTTCCGAACCTATTTTTTCGTGTGACTTGCAATCGATCGCGTTGTAACGGGAATAATAATTCTATATATAATAACTCAATAATTAAGACATAGTAATTTAAATATTCATATTTTAAATGATTTTCTCTATTATCCTGTAATTTGAACATTTGATTTGCGGAGTCGATACGCTGAACTAAACCCATGATAATAGCCTGCAGACGTAAGGCCACCGATTCCAAAGCGCAGCAGAAACGAGCGACCTATTCCTATAAAAAATCCACCTCAATCCGAACTGCAAAGTCAGGGTGATGATGAATGGCCCGTATCAGCTTCCACGTCCAATCACAGTACCACCAGATCGTGGCTCAACACCGCAACAAACATCAACGCTGATCAAAAAGCCCTGAGAACTGCCCTGGATCAGGTATCGCGTGATCTCACGAAAAAGCTTCAAAAATTTAGTACCGTTAAAGGGTCCACGACTATCGCAGCCAACCAGTCGAGCAAACAGTATTACGGCTTAAAAACTAATAGGTAATTAATTAAATCACCGGTAATTTATGTTGTTATACGTCGTAATTAATTGTTCGTAATAATCGAGGATATCAAGTGAAATTTCGCATTTTATATCCAAGTTTAATTAATGAATGCTAATTTAATTGGTAATATTCATTCCTAATAGAGATAATATTAAGTAAAATGTCAACACGCACACGCGCACGCGCACGCACACGCACACGCAGAGAGAGAGAGAGAGAGAGAGAGAGAGAGAGAGGACATACGCACAAACATAAAGTTAATAGAAAAATATTATTTGTGTATTTATGCTTTATTATAACATAATCGAAATAAATATTTCATCAACATTTTTACATCAGTATCATATATATATATATATATGTATATATATATATATATACTACGCGTCCAACACATTCAAATTTGTTTACTTTATAATTTAAGGCTAACTTATTTTCTTTATTTTAATTATGCCTGAACTTATTGATAAAAAAATTTTTTTTTTAATTTATTTAGATTCTTTATACTGTGATTGTCGGTATAACATTAATTTAGTAAATTGTCAGAACTTAATTTTTTGAATTGAACTTAGCTTCACCCAGTCGAATCTGTTTTAAAAATATTTTTTCTACTCATGACTACTATTTATATTCGAATACAACAAGTTTTATTTGCAACTAAAGGATATATCGGCAAGAATATGTTAACGACAGTGGGCCAGTAAATAATAATTCATAGCTGCTGAAACGTATAAAAAGTAATATCGCGCGAAGCTCGTGTAACGGAATTCCGTAAAATATTTTATTAAAAAGTCAAAAGTTCTCGGGATAACACATAAAGTCTTATAATATTTCATTTTACCCTGTAGTGCCACTATCAAATTACTTTTTACAATGTTGGTAAGACGTTCGAGAACGATAAAAGAAAGTCATATACTGTTACAGCTGGTAAATTACACGAAACCTTGTTTTATGCAAAAATATTTTCCGTAACCTGCCACGTACATGACTATCTACTTACAATACAAATTATTTACCAGTATTAGTACGATAAATTCGAATTAATAATTTATTAATGTTACTCTACGATATATAAATATGAAAAAAATAAAATAAAAGGCAACGTGCGTAAAAATCAATATTTTATTTTAAACTAATTTTCAAATGAACATATTTTGCATTTATCTTAAATTTTCATGTTCTTGAATTTTACTTGATTTTTTGTTTGTTTTTTTTTTTTTTTTTTGACTGACGCCGAGAAGGCCGCGTCTTTTAAAATTTGTCTCTCTGCTACACATTTAGGTCATTTAGAAGAATCGAGAGAGGTCAGCGATCACCTACAAATAGAAGGCAACAACAGCAGCAGCAGCAGCAGCAGCAGCAGCAACAGCAGCAGCAGCAGCAGCAGCAGCAACGGCAATCAAGATTAGCCGACGAAGAGGATGAAGATAGCGAAAACATCGGGCCTCGTCAGGTACATAATAAATTTGCAGAAATGCAAGCGGCATCTAAAAGACTCGAGAGGAAACTACCAAAATTGGAAAGGAGATTTAAAAAAAGTGCTACCAACATACAAGAGGTTTGTCAATGCTCATTTTATTACATTATTGCGAATCTGCTGTAAAGCCAAATATTTTATATTAATTTTATTTTTGCTTGATGAACGTTATTAATAAAATTCATGCCTCGTTAATGGCAATTTAATGCATTTTACCTTTCTTTTATTTAAAAGAAATGAATAATGAAAGTAGCGATTAAATATAATTACGTTATTTTTATCAAATTACAATCGAATTACCGATTAGGAAAAAGTAATTTGTGTTGTGAAAGAATAAACAAAAAATTCTTTTATCCCTTTTGGGGGATAACCAACGGGGAAACTTTAAATTGCTGTGTTAAACTAATATTTAAAAACAATATCATTTTATGGCAAAATACATTTCTAATTCATCATATAATGATAATTTATACTTATCTTGCAATAATAAATAATTTATTACATCCTTTATATGTAAATTGATTAACCATTGTAAGGCATTATTAAGAAATTTGTTTATTGAATATCACATTTCATTCGCCTAATTGAAAAAGTTCCGCTCACTTAGTAACCTCGTATTTTTAAATATGAATAAATCTCTATTATTAACATCCAATACATAAATAATTGACAATTATAGATAATGTAAAAATTAATATTCAAATCAAATCAAATTATGTACACTTCACTTTGCGTGGAGTATACACTTGAAATTTAATAGTACAAAATTAAAATGAGATATTTATTATTAAACTGCTATTTTTATACTTGAAAAATGCTGAACAATTCGTTGCAGAAATTAAAAAGCCAATATTATATTGACTTTAATACTAATATTATATGTGAAAGTAATTTTATGTTAATAATCGAGTAGGTTAATATTTTCGTTATCGTTGTAAATGCAAAAATTTAAATTAGTTAAAGAATTTAATGTATTTATGAGTAGTTTATTTTAATATCATACGTGATTTCTCAACAAATTTCATCTACATCATTGTCAAAGCATCTATCCAGACGAGCAATGTATTATTAATGTTGACAAAGAAATATTTTTTATTTCAAAATAACCTCAAGATTTAAGATGCTAAGCGCTTTTTTTTCTATTTTTATCTATAAACACAATATGTAATAATTAAATTTTATTTAATAATTACATCAAAATACGGCACTTATTGGATATGGGGAAAACAATGATTTAATCAAGCAGAATAAAATTTACTAGAGTACGTACTTTAATTTATAATTACACGCCTATTTGCGTGTAAAAATATGAGCAGGAGTGCTGTGTTTTTTTTTTTTTTTTTTTTTTTTTTTTTTTTTTTTTAATTAATGAGAATGCATTTTCTTTTGAAACAAAGAATATTTATTTACACTTAAAACGAGCCAACCACTAATTAGATTCTTATAAAAAGCATAAATTATTATTACTATTATTATTACTATTGTTATTATTATTATTATTAACCATTTTTGCTTTCATAACGTAATTTTACGGCAATTTTTAAGTGTTCATTGAGTCTTGAAGGACAATTTAATTCAATAATGAAGACCGATGCATTTGATGTTATTTTTTTTTTTTTCAATTGTAGATTTTTAATAAAGAGCGTACAATGGATAACGAGTGCAAAATATTTTTGATTCAGATCAATTGAAGAAAGTAAGAAAGGGTTCTGAATTAATAGTTTTGGCCCCTGGCTGTGCCAATTAAAACACAATACACAATAACAAAAATACTGCTTGAATTATCGATCTTTATCGCGTTTTATTCAAACTGCAATGCAATATTAAGACCTACAATATTCATGCGAGCAATACCGTGAATAAAGTGAATAAGATGACGATCAATGATAGAAATACTCTTGATTCTTCACTATCGAGTGTCATTTGCTTACCCGAGGCAACGCATCTCCCTCCGTCTCGCCTCTTATTGTTACAAGCTCGCATACATTGGCCTATGCGGTTCTTATTTGACTTGGAGGAAGTTTTGCTATCCCTTATCTAGACAAAGAGCGCTGGCCAATCCACGAGAATAGTGGAAAAACTGCAGAAATTGCCCAAGGCGACGCAAACGAACCTGCCACCACCATTAAGTGTCATCGGCTCCAACTCGGCGCCCAAATCCACGAATCCGCGCCAGGATAGTAACGTCTCCTCCGACAGCTTCAGCCAAACGAGTTCCCCTGGTTATACGAGCAAAACCATGGAAGCACCTCTGCTCCCACACAAGCATAGAAATGGAAAAGTTCCCGGTAAGTCTTCGATCTCGTTATGTATTTCACGAAAAATGCAAGAATAAAGTAGGACAATAAAGAGAATAAAAAAAGAATAACAAGACCCTTTTTATACTTGCTACAACTAAGCTGCAGATAAATTAATGAATTTGATAATTTAATTGTCTAATTGTCAAAGCCACGAGTGCATGGTTTATTATTATTTAATACAAACTTTATTATAATTAATATATACGTATAGATAAATAGATTAAAAAACGATTAAAATTTATTCCGATTTTTAATATCGTGTAGAAACATTTTTTCTCTCGAATTCTTATGAAAGAATAAGTTGTATTTTTCATAGAAATATATGTATATATAAGTTATTTTGTACATTATAATACAGCATATATAGATATTCTATATAATATCGTAGAAAAATAATAAAACAAATAGTAGACGTAGGTGTATCGTAGTGCAATTTCTTCCATAAACAATCAATTATAAAATTTGATTTAACGTTATCGAATGATCATATTGTTAGAACATTTTCTCCATTAAAGTTACATAAGACACTTATTACTCTAAATAGTAATTATCACATTAAAATAATAATAATAATAATAATAATAATAATAATAATAATAATAATAATAATAATAATAATAATTCAATGTTAATGTATTTTCGTTGTATTTCTAAATCACTTTTTATAAATGATGGATCTGTTACACATACAAAACTGTATGAATTATTGATGATATATCAACTGTTTAATAAATAAATATAAAGATTTTCAACAAAATATTACTCTCAAGTTGATCTGACAATTATTGCAATTCTGAGTAATTATTTTTTTGTAAAAGAAATGAATGAGTATTTTCATTCGCAACTTACAAATAAATGATACAAATTATTTTCTATAAACATCTGCCTCAAGTCGTAGTCTTGTACATGTATCAACTGAAAATTTTACTTAAATCAAGTAATATGAATATATTAAAACGTATAAAGACGAAAGACGTGAGCGGGGGCGTTTTCATTCGGTCGGAAATCGAATCCGACCCCTTCCGTTTTTTGTGACGGATGCTCTCTTTTCAACAAAGTTAGCGACTCATGTATGCACCCGTCGTCTCAAGCCATTCGAATAACATCAACATTCATATCTGTTATATTAATATATGATCATATATATGTTAATAACATATACAGAATAATAATTTTAATATACACAATATCTTTTTCTTTTCTTTTAATTTGATTGTAATAATTTTCTTTGCGTTAAAAAGTATGTACTTTCGACTTTTTATATTATTACATTTTTATGTTTCCAACTTAATATTTTCTTTCATAATTGATATAGAGGAAAACAAACGTTAAAAATATAAAATTTTGAGTAATTTACATAATAATAATATTACATAAGATATACATACTGATCTTTTTATTATTCAAAAGAGAAATTATTTAAATTTGCATTACGTATATTAACAGTTGTCGACGGCGAAATATCAACCTAAAACTTACTTTTTTTCTCACCTACTTTTCCATTGAACCTCATAATATAATATATATATATATATATATATATATATATATTTATGAAAATTTAGCGCACTTAGAGTGGATAAATTTATTGGATAAATTAAAGAAAGCGAGTATCGATTGACCAATAACGTTCATATCATCCGCAGTCTATCACGAATAACATTTAAATTAAATTTTGAAATTTAATTAAAGAAAGAAGCTTCAGAGGCTATTTACCGAGCTTAAGCCATGAAAATAAAAGTTTTTGAACAATTAATGGTTCACAGGCAGTGCATTGGGACTAACCCCGGAGCCGGAAAATCCACCGGGAAGCCCAATCACCAAATCAATGAGTACACCCGCGAGTCTGCAGACTATTGTCAGATTCCAGAACGGCAGCAATATGTCATTACATCACCGAGTAAGTAACGCAAACCTCCCGACGTCCAATTACAAATAGTACGGAATAGGCGTAATTGCGAGCGGAAGCCCTTCGTAACTATTTGCTCCAAGCCTGGTCAATGTCCAACGTCAATAGCCTCCGCGCTCTAAAGCCAACCCCCTCCCCCCACCCATCACCCGCCACCCGCCACCACCCTTAGCTGTCACATTTCTTTCTTGATCCGTCGAGTCACTTGGTGCGCTTGAGTATTTCCTGAAAGCTCAACAAAAGTTTCATCGGAGATGTGGAGTTGGAGAGTACGAGAGAATTCGGTGAATAAACATATATATTTTCGGGATATCGATTTTGCGACCCAAGACTTTACATTGCGCAAGGATAACCAGCAGCGCGACATGGGATAAATCGACTATATATTACCACTAATATTTCTAGTGATTAATGAGAAATAATGATAGTCATAACAATAATATTTCAAAAGAATATTAATTATATTTAAGCCGATTTCAGATTTATTATCATCAAAGATTTATTACAAAAATATTAAACTATTATTAATAATATGAAAGAATTACGAAATTTATCGAAAAACTAATATTATCACATTCGGATATCATTTCTTATAATCCTTATAGATTTTAATGTTTCATTATTCAAATATATCGCGGCATTATTTTTAACAATATTTTCTCTTCTAAACTTTCCTTCACCTAAATTCAGCATTATTTTTCTTTAATCATTGTTTCATTTATTGACGAAAGATCAGTTATTTAATCGATTACGGCACTCTAAATATTCCTAATAATAATAATAATAATAATAATAATAATAATAATAATAATAATTTTAAAAAAAGAAAAACAGAAAAAAAAACTATAAATGTCACTAAATTTTTCATAAAAGAACATCGATGCATTCACATTGTAATGTAGTCATATATATATATATATTTCCATCCTTATCTCTCCAATTATTAATTGTGTGTGTGTGTGTACGTACGTACGTACGTACGTACGTATGTATGTATGTATGTATGTATGTATGTATGTATGTGTGTGTGTATGTGTGTGTGTATGTATATATGCATGTGTGTATGTGTGTGTGTGTGTGTGTGTGTGTATGTATGTATGCATATGTGTATTAATAGATTTCTCATACGAATATCGATGAAATATCGAAATAACGAGAATTACCAAATTTAAAATTCTCTTTTATAGATCATCAGAGATATTAGAAGACCAAGTAGTCATTACGTAACTAGAGGGAGACTACGTTTTCGATTCGCTCAAGTTTTAGTTAACGCAGTAGCACTTATGGCAATTGCTGGTGGTTTAGCGGCTTATTTCAAATGTAAGATTATTCGCATAATTATAATTACGTCAGGACGATTTAATTAATTTTTTTTTCTTTTTTTTGCACATTTGATGTTGTAACGTTAAAGTTCGATGGTGATGCTAATCGGCAACAAGTACTTATTATGTCATTATAAATATATTAGATGTTTTGTTGCAGTTATGATTAGATTAATTCATACAGAAGAGAGACAAAATAAAAATACGTCAAATGTGATTTATTGCTTCGCCAACTGAAGCACCGCAAATCTCAATAGTTTACTCTTCTTTCTATCATTCGTTTATGAATTAATATTATTATATTATCATTATTAATTAGAATATACATACGTCTGTTATATATAAAGTCCATATTAATTGGTAATATTATAGAACATAATTGAATGAAAAACAAAAAGTATTTTACTATGTTTCTTGTTCCGAGACAACTGTTGAAATTGCTTGTATGTATATTTTTATTTATAGTACTGAAAACTTTCAAATGAATATTAAAACGATTAAATTAGAAAGATAGAGAAGAAAGAAAATTTTACTGGAAACAAATTCTCAAACTTTCTAAGCAAAGGCAGTAATATCACATAACAAAATGTGAAGGAAATATATTTTTTAAGAATTATATTATAGACTATGTAAATACAGAATGAAAAGGTAATTTAAAATTTTAAATAATCCCCACCGTACACTTACCGAGTCGTAATAAAATATAATTAGAAAAAAATTTAATATAAGCCTCGTCTATGTATTTGATGGCATTGGTATTAGAAAAATATCTAAGCATTGTATAATCATAGAAATAGGTACATAAAATACTTTTAATTACATAAAACGATCTCCCTTAGTGTTTGAATAATTGTCAATGACTAAGTATGTGTCTTTCTCCCTCGCTGTCTGTTATCCTTATACTCACGCTCCCTTCCCGCTCCCCACTTTCTATTCCGCTCTGACAGCTTTCTCACCCCTTTCAACAATAGCCACGCAAAGTCGGCACAGCAAACTAAAATTATTTTACACTGAAAAGCTGCCCACTAGTATATCACTTTTGTGAAATAGAGTACCACAGGTTCATGGCTTTTACACGCAAATACATATACACTTACACAAGGTCCCCTCGGGACACTTTCCGTTGAATTATGAAGCACGAAAAAGCTCGACAGCGAGATATATATATATATATATATATATATTTTTTTTTTTTTGTAGTGGTCAAGGGCTTGTGTCGTGCAAACCCGTTTTTATTACGTTTTTGTTTAATTATTTGTATCTTTAATCCGAAAGCATGAATGAAAAAAAAAAAAAAAAACAAAAACAAAACAAAACAAAACAAAACAAATCAAACAAACAATAATAAATAATAAAGAAAATAATAATGAAAATTTCAACTGAAAATTAATAGGAAATGAACCGATGTTAAAACAATTAATGTCAATAAATTTTATGTACAGAAAAATTCGCAAAAAAATTTGTATTAATGATTAACTCTAAAAACTAGAATTACAACATTTCGCTGGAGTTTATTAAATTCAATATTTATGCCCCTAGTCGTATCCTTTGAATTATTAAGTAAAGAATTTTATACAGAAAAATATTAACGATATTTATATTATTGTTTAAAAGAATGCGTGCAATTCGGCAAACTCGTAATTACATTTTAATGCTTTTTTTTTATTCGTCGTAAACAAATGTGTAGCCATGCGTAAGACGTATAAAAGTAATCGAATTATTAACTGACATCAAACATATTTTACATGGCTGAACTTTTAGAAATTTTTTCTACTTTCTCACAAGATAGCTTTCGTATTTAAATGTTCGTACAATCAATAAGTATTTTATCTAAAGTATGAATATTAAATATCAATATATCTGAATACGGAATAATTCAACTAATTCGCCGTTTCAAATTCTATTTATTGCCAACGGCATTTCTAAAATCTAAAAGTTTCTAAAATCTGAATTTCTTGCTAATTATTGATAAGTAAACTTGCATATTCTCATTTTATTTACAAAGACGTATTCAATTGTATGACAATAGTGTGTTTGTAATTAACATAAATGTCCGATATAGCTCGTACTGACGATTTTATCAATATACTGCGAAATTGCAGGTAAAATTGCAGGTAAAACGAAATTCTTTTAATGTCTAGAGTATACTATTTGTATAATTATTTTTATTAATTAGCAAGCTAAGCAATTGAGTAGAAAGCAATCTGACAAGTAATTTGTTAATGGTATCATTTCATTGGGCTCCACGATTAATATGACAATTGCAATTCTATATCACTTACTTATTATGCAGAACAATTAGAATTAATCAAATTCGTAATCTTAAAAAAGGATATTCATTGTCACTCGTTGGCTATTAAATACTCCTTTGGTTATAATTGAAATCCTTAATTTACCTTTTCACTTAATTTCATCAATTTATTTAATCGATTCAGCCTATCCAGCGACTACAATCAAGATACCCAACGAGAATAAAACATTCTTAACGAGCAGTGGGGCAGCAGTTTTATCAGAGCCAATATTATCCATCGCTGAAACGAAAAATCCAGCACCCGGTATATGCTTACCTATTATCGTCGCCTTCTGCCAAGATCATAAGGTAATTTTATCCTTAAAATAATAATTTCATTCGTCAAGGAATATCATGAAATTAGCAGGCGACATTCTACTTTCAAACTATTTTGATTTTCAATCGTAAAAGAAATTTAATTAAACGTCACGCATTGATACGCGCACAGTTGCGTTTCTTTTTCTTCTAATCTGACTCGTTATTACGATATTTCAATATGATTTATTTTATGAATCATAAGCTCGGTTTGCCTATCATTTAATGCTAATCGAATAGCATCAATGGAATGGGGATTAAAAATATTTAAGCTTTTATCTTCATTACCAAACTGCTCCTTCGCTAAATTTCTAATCACCGTTCCTTTGCTTTCCCACTTACTCGTCGATTAATTACATTCGTACACAATAACCGACTACAAATTATAAATATATTTTACCATCGTCTCTTCGATATGTTCATATCAGGTGAAATTACGCCCGGTCCATAAAAACATGCGATATTACTTTGACTTAATTTAAATGCGCTCAGCAAGTCGTGAATCCTCGCCGCGCGTTCGATGATTAAAATTGCGACCGTTAAATTCCGGCGTACTTTGCCCGCGCACGAAAAGACGAATTACGTGAGCGAGAGGCACGAAAAATTGCGCAATCGGGTATGGCGAGCGAGTCATAGTGGACAGACGCAAGAAATTAATCGACGTCCCGTGATGGCCCCATGCTTTCAGATCCCATACAATTACACGGTGTTCCCGAATTACATGGGGAACTTCCGGCAGCGCGACGCTCAGCACGAGCTCGAGCTCTACGACGCCGTGATCGACGTGCGATGCTACGAGCTCGCGGCTCTCTTCTTCTGCAGCATTTTCGTGCCCAAGTGCGGACCGAAGGGCGGCCAGGCCGTGAGGCCCTGCCGAAATCTCTGCTTTGGTAATTTGATTTATTTTACTTGCCCATCCGAAATTCAATTCCTTTTCCATCACACTCCTCGCACTCGGCTTTATGCATTTGGTTGTTCGTGGAGTAGAGGGTCCGCTAGCACCTCGTACTGTCACTCTTAAAGTACTATTGATATACTGATCGGTATAAAAAAAATAATACGCATCGATCGTCAACAAGTCTAATTTATGTGCAATTAATATTCCAATAGATGCACAGTGTGTCATCAAAGTCTCGGCTAAACATTAAATCAACATTCTATCATTTTACAGCAATCGATAATGATTTTTCATTTACATAATCTACCAACTGATTATAATTTAAATGCCTTTTCTATAAACTATCATTGGATTTACAGTTGAATATGAGCGCTAAGCTTATGAAAGATTAAACGCGTTTTACAGAAACCAAAAGACGTTGCGGCTTTTTTCTCGAAATTTTCGGACTCACTCTTCCCGAGTACTTGGAGTGCGACATGTTCCCGGAAAGTCCGGACCCAAATGTATGTGTGGGGCATGAAGAAGTTATCGATGCTGAGAGACGAGCGGCGAAACCAGGTGAATTTTACAATAAAAAAAAAATAATAATAATAAAAATAAAAAAGAAAAAAAAAATCATTTCCTTTATAAACCATTCGTGATATCCATCGATGTTTTGATTGATTTTAATTGTTTGAAAAGAAAATGAAAAAAAAAAAAAAAAAAACAACTAATATCATTGCTAACGCGATTGTTAATAATTTACGTTAAAAAAAAAAAATCGATTGATTTGGTTATGTTCGCTAGAGAAAAAAAAAAAAAAAAAAAAAAAATTTCACCTCTCATCTATTTATCGTGCAAGCAAATATTTAATCAATACAAATTGCCAATGAATATAGTTGACAAGGCAATTAACAATTTAAAAAATATCAACTGATATTAGTGCTGGATTAATCGGAAATTAATCATCCTGTAAATCAATGGAATATATTTATGAAAGATATTTTGCAATCCAATCCACAAGTCACGGCACATTTGATATGATAAATAAGAAAGTAACGATATTTTTAAACAAACGTTAAGTTTTCAATTTGTTTCATATGCTCTGGCATGAAATATATTAAACAATAAACATATGCCATCCCTTTCTCTCTGCAACCAAATCCTTCGTTAGAATATTTCGTCCCTTTAACTTATTCTATGACAATGTTTTATTGATTAAGATAATAAACCAGTGGAATTATGATTGAATGAGGAGAGGATCGAGCGAATTGCATACGACGACAGCGGACTGACTGTTCAGATATTGGGAGGAGAATGCGAATTAATCGTGACATAAATTGCGCTCGTTCGCGATAATGCATTTTTATGAGTGGGAGTAGAAAGCGTTTGGCTGATCCATCAAAAATTCATGAATAATTGAGACTCGACGCTGAGCCTCAAAGTCTCAACTCAAAGCCTCAAAAAGACTCGTGTAATGCATAATAGGTAATTCAAAAAGGGCATTAATTATGCGCGACACTTAATTCTATATCGACAATCTGTATTAAGAATTTCTGTATTAAAATTTTATCCAACGTGTTATTATTAATAATTTTTCAACAATCAACGAATTCGAGCAATCGCTGAAATAATTTCAATCATTCGTCTCATCTACTCTCGTCTAATGCTTTTCATTATTAAACTTGTACGTCCAACGATAGGAGGACATCTTTTGCGCATAAAAATTAATTATAACTTTAAATTTTGAAAGAAATTTCATTCGAAGATATTCCATTAAGCCGCTGTACATGAAGTCCAATTAACGATAACACCAAACTAATGATTATTTTTGCTTAATAGCATATGTATTAATTTTATTGTTATGGGATTTTATTGTTATTTATTTAATTTTCATTAAAATAACGAAATTCAACATTCACTTTAAATTTCTTGCAATAATCATGAACTTTGCCCGAAAGTTTACATCAAGATTACGAGCTTAATAATCTATTAAAATACTTTGCAAATCACTATCAGCAAATAGTAATCGGTAGTTATTTCATTGCTCGTGCATCAATTAATTAACTTGGAAAAATTGACGAAAGCGTTGTGGAAATGTTGGTCGAAAGTTTGTTTCACTTAAGACTCGAGCGACAAGTTAAGTTGCTTAATTTAATAGCACATTGCAATTTGTTCTGAATTTCCTTTATATTGATTAAAATGAGCGTATAAATGAACAAATGAACAAACGATAAATGTTAATCGTAAATTTTTTAAGTCTTATGTATTTGATGAATTTTTGTAAAAATAAATTAATTTTGAATTTATAAGGAATATTGGAAAATATTGGACATTGTTGTTACTTAGGACGATCGATCTACTCGTACGTATAATTATCAATAAATTGTACTCAATGCGCCTATTAACGAGGTACTTTATAATTAATCGATCGATACTTTCGATTAACGTAAAAATTCACCTCCCGATTATTAAAAGTATTTGTTGTCGATAATCGCGCGCCTCCGCTGCATTCGAACAGACAAAGACACGCTGCTCGAGGAAAGTTTGACTTTCAATAGAAGCGTGGCAACAATTTTTTTAAACTACGCCAATGATTATAACAAGGATATAATGACGGTAATGGCATTTAATAAACGTTAGGCGCGCGGCTAGTTTGTCAAGTTTTTAATTACCAGGGTACCTTAGCTGTCGAATCTCAAGCAAAGCCATAAGCTAAATTATATAACGAGGGCGTGCAAATAATCAAAGTTGATATTAAGCACTTGGGTGTAAACGGCGATATCTAATCTCATAAATAACGTACGGAGAAGCAGCGGTTAACGTTCGCTAACCAAATTTGCAAACAATCCAATTCTCTCGTAATGTGCTCGTAAATTGATGAGAGAGCTAATGGTCACAATTTCCCACTAAAATCAATAAAATTACCCGTCGTGGCAAACGTCATTCTTCTCCCACGTGCTCTCCCTCCGCGTAAAACAACCCCCCCCCATCCACCCCACCCACCCACTGCTCAATACAATACGCCAGATGTATATCGTGGCGCATAAAGCGACGGGGGAGGAGAAGCGGCGGAACGGCGGAGCGCAGCAACGCGCGAGGACGACGAATCCGTCGCGCGGATATTCCCAGCGAGCGGCTGGTCCAACTGCGAGACGCGTCCATTCACTCCGCCTCGGTGGTTAATTAGACGAGATTTTCAGCTCGATTAAAGGAAGCTCCGTCCTTTATGCTTGGCCCGTTAATTGGAAGATGCGTCCTCTTGCTTTTATGCCCGTGCAGCATAACTTGTTGGAGGGTCGGTAGTCTCGGCATCCGCGTTGCCTCTTTTCCTTTTGACTGA